GCTAAAGAAGGGGGGTGGGATCTCTCCTAAAAGAAAGAATTGACCTTGAGCCTGTCCTACTTATTCTTATTTTCCCGTTCCTGACCCTCGGATCAGTTGGCAAGTCGTATCCCACGGGTACTTTACTAAAAAAAGGATCCTACTTTATAAGGCTTCTCGAACCAGACCAGAATATTTTAAGCTCTATGGGAAGACTGACTCTAGGTACACAGAAAGACCAAGCTAAGCCAATCTCACGTCGAAACAGGGAAATTTTAGCCCTTGAAAGCAGCCCACTTCGGAGTCTCTCATAGGAGAAGGACTGGCCTTTTCTCTCATTCCTATCGAGAAGACTAAGTCAGGGCGAGCTCTTACTTAGAGAGAGTTAGTTGGGTAGGGTCACTCTAAGATTAAGAAATCCTGAGTCACAAGAGAGATTCTCCACACGAACGACCCGTCAGGTTATAACTTACATTGGTGAATTGGACCAACACCTATCTTACACCAACAAGGAGAAGGAGTTTCTTTTGTTATGCAGTTCGAAAGCTTAAGCCTTCCTACATATGAGGGCCCACCGGTTTAGTTTAAAGAGTCCTCTATCCGGACTCCCCCTAGACCTCTGTCTGGCCTAGGGAACTTCTCTAAGCTCAAGAGCTCCTATCTCCTCACAGCGTAAGCGGCTCACCTCTCCCCGGAAACAAACCAAAGCAAGCAAACTAACGACGAGAAAGTCTCATGGTACGTCTGCTAGTCCCTTTGATTTCCAATCGTGCACGGCGATAATAAAACAAAATCGTAGGGAAATGGGGTGACAAAGAAGAAGGACTTATTGCAATCTCAGGTACAACGGCTAGTTGGAAAGCCTTTCAATTCAAGCCAATCTCTTAATTCACATGAATGTGAAACCGTTGCAACCGATCATGCATATCAATCATCCTCCGCTTACAGTTCTGGCACTAAGCCAAGGTTTCTATGGATTCAGTCCTGTGGAAAAATACATATTTATTTTAGGGCAATTCAGTTAGTAGTTTCACCGGTAAATCCTTGGGACACTAGCGAGTCTATCCTTAAAAGCCCTAAAAATTGGGTCCATGAAGCCTTAGATACTCCAAGCCTCAATCTTTATTGTCCTTGAACCTAGACCATGGAAGTATGGTTATAGTCCCATTCCATTAGTGGGATCCATAGCCTACGGGTCTTTCCCAAGCCAGTAAAATAAGAAGGTTTTTGAGGACTACCCTAAGCCTACAAGTAGGCAGTACTTTCAGTTACAATGTCTAGGTTGGGCAAGCTTGGATGCCCCTACTCCCAACAAGTTGTTGGTCGGGATCGTGAAACTATCGCTGTTTGGTCATAAGGATAATAGTTCTTATCTTATTAGGTCAGGGGCGGGCGGCCCGAGGGTTACCCGCGATTGGTAATGGCATAACCAGAAGAGGAGTAGGGGAGACAAGGTGTAGCGCTGGGTAGCGCAGCGCATCTGTTTCGGGTACAGGGGCTTAGAGGGGTGCTAACCCGACCACCCAACCCAGCAGGTCAGGGGCGGGCCAGCCATAGGTTCGAATCCTGCCACCTTTCTTGTGGATCATCCTGTGGTTACCGGATGATGGGAATAACAAAGCAGAAATTTATAAATGAGCAGAGCACGAAATGTACATAATATATGAATTCTTTCATTTATCGTTATTTCCGGGTATTTTCGTTGCATTCACTTACAACAAGAAACAACCACCTGCGTTTGGTGCAACACCTGCATTTTGGTGCATTCTTCTTTCTTTCCTCGGTCTTTCGTTCCGTCATATTCCTAATAACTTATCCAATTACAACGTATTAACCGCTAATGCACCTTTCTTTTATCAAATCTCAGGGACATGGTCTAATCATGAGGGTAGTATTTTATCATGGTGTCGGATCCCATGTTTTTATGGATTCCTTCTTTGTTACCGGGGTCGACCCCAAAGCCATAATGTCTCAAAACGAGGAGGCCATAGAGAAGTTTTGTATTACTTTGTCTCGAACTTCGTGAAGAACTCCATTCTATCTCTCCCTCGTTACGAACAAAAAACTGGGGTTGCGCCCCAGTTGTACACTCCCTTCGTTCTACGAACCCTTGTTGATTCTGAACTTCGTTCGCGAAGGAACCGGACGTTTGACGGGCCAGCCCTTTTTTATGCGCCGCTTTACCCTGAAAGGATAATTAGCTTTGCTCCTCTGGGTGCTAGGCGCTCCCGTGGTTCGCGAGAAGGAAAAAGAAGAACTCATCCTTTGTTGCATCTGGAATAATATGATAAAGAGAGAGCTTCGTCTATCGATGAACAGCGGATTGACGGAGCTCTTGGCATTGCTTTGTTTTTCTCTCCTTTCCTATCAACGAGTTCCGATCCTTTTGTTTGAAATTTCTTCGTTCGTACCGAACCGCTTGCAGAATCAAATTTTGTTCCACAAGATCCTATATCAGCTATACATCCTCCTTGCATTTATTCCGGAGACGTCGCCAGTGCTATGGGCTTTGGATTATGTAGATCAAAAATTAATAATGGGATTGTGGCACTCCACTCGCCGCCAATGCGGAAGGATGCCACCGAAAAGAAGGGAACGCTGCTTCGCTCTGCTGGATGCGTCGGATCCCGTATAACAAGCGAGCTTTTTACCATTAAATTAAAACATGTGGTTGCAAAATGCTATCCAGCTCTCTTGTTGCGTAGCAATAGAAGCCTGCTCATGCTGCTTTGGCGGTGCTTTTTCGCCTTCTTTTCGCTCTGGACAGGAGCGCTAGTGGACACGGGGAGGGAGCAGGCGAAGCGTGTCGTTCGTAATGAACAGAAAGAGACCACTACTTCGCCTCTTTGTTAGAACGCCGGCGCGAACATAGTGGTATCTGACCAGGACCAGAAACATATTCGAATTTGGATCTTGACATGTCGGTGGTTTTTAACCGTGGGCATCATGCCAGGAAGTTGGTGGGCTCATCATGAATTAGGTCGGGGTGGCTGGTGGTTTCGGGATCCCGTAGAAAATGCTTCTTTTATGCCTTGGGTATTAGCCACAGCTCGTATTCGTTTTGTAATTCTACCCCTTCTTCATTCTTGGATCTCGTTTCTTAATATTCTGACTCTTCCATGCTGTGTCTCAGGAACCTTTTCAATACGGTCCGGATTGCTAGCTTTCGTTCATAGTTTTGCTACAGATGATACACGAGGAATCTTTTTATGGCGGTTATTCCTTCTAATGACCGGAATATCTATGATTCTTTTCTCCCATATGAAGCAGCAGGCATCGGTCCGTAGAACTTATAAAAAAGATATGGTTGTGGCGCGAAGTACTCTTATGCACCTCCGTCACTTGGCTCGCGCGCAACCCCGCCCCGTTATGTTATGGAAGAATTTAACTTATTACCGGGATGGTTATTCAGAGCCAGCGGCTTCCAGATTTCGTCCCGCAACTAAAAGAAGATCGCTTCGGGGGTCACTGTGGCGTGGCTGAATGAAGAGCAGTCTGCCCCTACTGCGTTTGATTAGTAAATTCTGGATAAGTTCGGAAGATGGTCAAGGTAGCTTGCTTCCAAGACACTGCACTAGATGCGCATGTAGTCGTAGTAGTAGGCTCATAATGCCTCTCTTCTATACTAAAATACTACTTAGGATGAATGGATCGTTCTCTTACTTGACCGTGGCATCGCCAACATGAGTCTGTGTTCGGTGGTTGATAAGCTGCTAGTTGGTATTTAGTTTTGGGGCTTGTTATTTCCTTTAACTTTTCCCAACGAGGTGGAGGGCCATCGCAGAAAGTAACCTATCCCCGTAGTTCCGAAGACAGGAATTGGGTAGTAGGGGGCCTTGGACCCCAAAAAAGGCTTTGACCTACTGGCTATTGTGTTTACCGCGAAGTGAATAAAGTTGGGGGGCAGAAAGGGATGCCAGGGACAGAGTCACCTCAGGGTTAATTTAATGCCCACGGGCAAGAAAAGGTTCCAAAGTGAAGCCCTTTGACCCAGTGCTATCGGACTGGTGGAATGAAACCATATCGAATAGGGAACTCGTTCCAGTACCGCTACCGCTTCGACTGCGAGAAGGAAGCCTGATGAAGAAGATTACTCGACTCGCGTCTGGGAAAACCGGGAAGACAGACCTTAGATGGCTCAGCTTCGACCCATTTGGTGAAGTAATTGGTAGCTACCAAAAGAAAGGGGTAGAAGAAGGGGCTCAGGATCTTCGGATCAAAGTACCAAGCGGGCAAGAACGCACTGATCTGTAGTACGCCTCAGGAGTCGGCGGAGAATAGTTCCAACTATAGGTAAGTCGTTCCTAGCCAAAAAGTAGGTAGCCCCGCGAAACCTCTTATTCCGGCTAACTACGACTACTCAGGAATAACGGCGTTTCCGCTGTTGGGGATAATCGCCTGTTGTCTCTTTCCTGACCTATTCAATCAAAAGATGCCCACAATCAGATGCTAGTCTCTAAGTCCCTGCTTTGACTGTGCCTTATCTTAGGGCACGGTACCTTAGTTGAAACCCATAGTTTACCGCTTTCCCTTGCAAAGACAAAGACCTGATTTGTCCCACCCGGGGATCTGACCCCCTTGATCCTCCTCTAGGATTCGCGCTTTAGTAAGCTCACTCGTGCCGTCCTACTAAAGGAAAGGGCTCTTTCTATTCCGAGTTGGCCTGCACCCTATATTATTCGATTAGGAAACTTATGATTATAGAGCAAGTTACATCCATATAAAATCCTCCAGAAGTTCTGCTCAACAGGAAAGTCATAAAAAAGTGCCACAACACTATTGCTATTGATCGGACATTCACTATTGCATTACCTAAATGGAATGGCAGCAGTCTTCTTAGTCCCTGCGCATTCAAGAACAAGCCCATCCAATCTGACCGTTCTTTAACCTACGAGTGCTTCTGGCATAAGCGCTATTAGTGAAAGCAACTGACAAGGCCTCAAAGCTGTTTCAGGAAGAATATAAAGCAAAAACACATTTCGACCGGGCACGTATCGAAGGAGCAAAGGAGGAGGGAGGTA